AAATTTCTACCGTGTGGATTCCCTTTTCCTACATAAAAACTTTTGGCAATACCACTGGTTTGAGTGGCCTAAAATCATACTTTATGATATAAAATCCATGAGAGTAATGCATAACGCACACGGCGCGAAGCGCCCCGCGCAGTTCGACCGCGAAGCGGTCAGGAAGCAGCACCCAAGTTTAATAAAAAATGTTTGATCCAAGTCGAAGCCACCTATCAACCTTTAACAATAAGCTTCATAATATTATGCATCATACTACAATGAAGGTTACAACTAGAAATCAAGTTCTCCTTCAATTTTGCTGCTATGCAATTTGAGCTACCTAGGAGTTAAAATAATTGTATCATGTAATTTGGTCTTGTAGCGTGAATTGATGCAAATTGAGTGATCTCTTAAGACATTGGTTGTACGTTACATTGTACATTGCACAACGTTAAATAACGACAGGAAACTATAAGACGCGTATCTTGTTTGAGGTGTTTTAAAATATGAACTCTTATTTTAGTTTATCGAAGGGGAACGAACTAACGAGATTGCTTGAAATGTTCACGCGATGTATTTTTCATGCGGAGATGATTAATCAGGCATTTTTATGGGGAAGATGTTAATTATTTTTGCATTTGACAAATAAAGTATGACAGGAAGTTTGCAACGTCGCAATCCGAAAAATGCGTTCCAGCAGCCCCACCATTGATATGATGTGCCGCACAATTTTATCTCTTTCCTTTAAAGAAGGTGCTTTCATAACATAGCGCGTCGAAGCCGAAGGCGTCGGGTCTTTTCTTTCAAAGATAATTGTGTATAATTTACGGACTTTTGTACCTACCTTATGTTTAATTTTGAAAATTTATTCACTTACGGCGTGCTTACTTGTATTTCAGATTTTTTTCCTCTTCAGACATATAATTTGGCTTAAAATTAAAAGCAAAGGTCTCAGCTATGTCTGAAGATGGCTCTAAAAAGTTCATACTACTTACAGTCAATTGTGATACTTTCCGGAAGCAATTTCTTGATCAAAATTAAATTAAACTATGAATAAAATTAAATGAATGCTAAATTTTGCTCTATGTCACCAAGAGTATACGAGTACTTCTCTGGTGTAAAACAATTATTATTAAAGACTAATTTTGAAACTTTCATATTCATCCCTGGGCTCCTCAGACATGCAAGATGATTCAAAAAGGGTTGTAAGGGGCTTACTCCCCCTTTTCTCGCCCCCCACCCAAAAAAGGAGTAAGAAAAATAGAATGAAGAAAAAAGGGAAGAATGGTGGAGAGAAGAAGGAGGATTACTTATACTTGGCAATTATCCACGACATAATAATTGACTCAACTCACACCTCAAAACAATGAAATATCGAAAGCTTTCTAGGAGGACCCCCTTGGATCCCCTTGGACTCTCTTGGACCTCTTTCGCCCCTTTTTTTCAACATGTCTGGATCCGTCCCTGCGGCCCCATTATTAAAAGAATGTTTGCACGATAAGACAATACTTAGTCCTATCTTTACCATGCATTTCGATGTCATATCGCGGGCTGCTTTAAACTTTCAGTAATCAGCCAGCTACGAGCTTTATATTGAAATTGATAGACAAAGTTATAGACAAAGAAGACATGGGGAACATGGATCGATCCTATTGGTTAAAACTGGTGATTGTCATAAATTATAGGGGAAATAATGGACTGACTATAGAGTCTCACGTGGCAGAGTCGGACTGGCGTAAAAAAAGTTAGGCAGCTACTAGGATTTTGGGGCCCCTGACGTAAAAACTGGGCCCCTATGGGGGGTCGCCCCCCAGGGATGGAGGGGGGTCCGGGGGTCCTCCCCCGGAAAATTTTGAAAATTTAACCCCTGAAAATAGAAGTTTTAGGCTCTTTTCGCATTGAAATTTGATAAATAGCGCCTCCGAAAATGTCACCTATTTTTTAGATATGTTTTGAAAAATTCGGCGATTCCTCTTGTTGATAAAGAAGCACATAACCTCCTCTGCTGGTATCTTTTCAGAGGCCCCGCCCCTGAAGTTACCTTCTCCCGGCTGCAGGGCCAGTAGGGGCGCCTCCAAAAAGAAGTCATCTTAAAGTGAGTAACCTTCAAAGACCGGAAAAAAGAGCTTTCGAGACCCGGAAGGGCCCCTGAAAGTGAAACTCTTTTTTTCGAGCCCAGGGTCAGGGACCCCTGCTGACATATTTTAAAGGGCCCCAGAAGTGACCTCCTTCGGGCTATAGGGGTCTCAGAGAAAGAGTCATGCTGTTTAAAGTAAAAAACCCTTAGAGGCCGGGAAAATATAGCTCCTTTGAAGCTCCTATTGAAGCTCATATTTTTCGATCGCTGAGGGGCCCTTTCAGGGGCCTCTGAGGTTACCTTTTTCCGGCCGTAGGGGTCACAGAGAAGGTGTTATGAGTTAAACCCTCAAGGACTGAAAAAAACGAGGGTTTTTCAAGGATTCATTTCATTTATTGAAGAATAAATTCAAGGATTTTTCACTTTTTCATGGATTCATTTCATTTATTGAAGAATTAATTCAGGAATTGTCGGCTCAGGGGCCCCGACGGGGCCCCTGCCAGCAATGCTTAGCCAGCAATCGCTGCCTAGCTGCCTTAGCCAGTCCGGCCCTGCACGTGGGTTGCCGTTAGTTAGTCTATTACTTTCCTTCTTTGTCCATTGCAAGCAACCGCTTCCGCCAATAGGATCGCTTGATTTGACTTTTGTCTTCTTTGTCCATTGCTTTGTATATCAATTTCAATAATCTACCCGCAGCTCAGACAAAGTTTCTCCGAAAATTCCGATAACATTTGAAAGAAAAATTAATCTTTTCAGAAGTAGAATCCATTCTGAAAGTATTCGAACATAATGTATGGGGACTTGCTGCATAGCTATGAGGATTTTCCGGTCTCATCAATGGGCCCACGGCGCACAGTGGATCGAGCCAATAGAAGAGGTCGGACAAAATTTGGAAACTTTAAACGCTTAATACTCCGTTTATACAAAAATGTATGGTTCTAAAAGTGGTTTCATTGGCTTCCTCGTAAAATTTTCTTCCAGTGATACCCCTTGAAGTTTAAAATCTGGAAAGATAAACATGAAAATGTGCAGTTTTGGTCAAAAATGTCATGTCCGACCTCTGACATTGACTTGATCCACTGTGTGGCGTGGCGTCGCGGCGTGACGTTGGACCGGGGCGGCGATTCCGGCGTCGCGACGCTCTTCCGCGCTCTGTTTGAATTTATTTCAATTATTCACAGCGGCCGCTATTGTCGCCAACCGCGGGAGTCCGTCCGGCCATTTTGCCCCGTGGTGAGGCTGATAAATTAATAGTCATCAGTTTCCGTATAATCTATGCCCGATATTGCCATGTATCCAAACAACTTCGCCATTTTGAGTTCGTCGATGAACCACGATGACGACGATGGAGAATTTGTAGGTGTCTGAAATTTGCTGAATTTCCTATATAAAAGGAGACTTCAGAGTTAACTGAATACGAGGATATCTTTGATTTGTACATCGAACAATTATCGGAGAAGTTATGACAAAATTATCTGAGCTGCTGAAATACATTTGTTTAAATGGTGAACAATGCCACCGGATGACGTCACTAGGCTGTGCATTTTCTCACTTTTAAATCTACTTCTACCGTTCTCTCATATCAGAATAATATTATTAAAATTACTGCAAAATCAGCTTTTAGATGAAGCAATAAAAAATTTGCGTGCAAATTCTCCATTGATAGAAAAAAAAATTCAACCATCTATTCGCGAAGGAATCTTAGGCCACAATCTCTCAATCTCCTTACTAAGAATGTCACAGTAGATCCAACCAAGGCACCGAGGTGCGGACCTCTGTCATAGCGCCCCTGTGATGATCTCACTTTTTGTTATCACAAATGGGGGTCTAGGGATTTTGATTTTTATAATTTTTGTATGTATTTTTGTTTCCTGTATGAAGAGGGGATTGATATCACCACAAAACGTTCCAGGTTTGATGTATATTGTTTTTTTAGCCTTGGTTACATGTTTTCTTGTGTTTTTTAGTTGAATTATTCCGATTATTTTTGTGTTTTATTGTTTCCTCACATAGTTAAAACGGCGTTACTGAGTTTCTTGCAAATATCTTAGGACAGAAATGCCTTTAACTGGAGTATTGACGGTTTGTATTTTGTGATTAAAAAACGTGGTTTCGAGAAAAAACTATATAAATTTATAGGCTGTCATTATTGGAGCACAAATTGCCGGATGATATGCAACCTTGTGCCGATTTTGAAGTTGCGTTCTTATATGGACTTTAATCTGACAATAATTGAGATAATTTTAGCGTCTCATGCTACTTGTACTCCAAGGCTGCAACGCAAATCTTGGCAGGCCTATAGAACGCTAGACATAAGACGTATGAAAAGTTATAAAATGTCTGAACTGAAAGAATCAAATCGAACACAATTTAGAAACCACATTTTCACCCATTTTACGAAGCATTTTTAACCCAAAAATTAGGTTTTGCAAACCAAAAAACATTGGAGGGTAAAGTCAGATCTTACAGGGAGACGAAAGATCCAGCTTTCTTTTCTGCCAAAGTTTCCTCAAAAATTTCTCTCTTTCCATCGCTAAAAGGAATGCAATCCCTAAAATCATTTCTTTGTCGAACAGACGATTTTCTCAAAATTATACATAATGGGATTAAATTTTGCAATAAGGAACCACTATTTCTAGCTCATTTTAGAAACAACGTATATGTCATTGATTCACCTATCCGTGCTTTATGGAAGAGCCAGAGATGGTGGTTCCTTATCGCAAAATGTAATCCAAGTAGTCTGTCTCTAACCTATACATATGAAGCTGTTTAAAAACTGGTCAATCATACACTCTCAATAAAAACTTCTTTATCATTTCCTCAATCGAGGTCGGTAAACTTCAACGTGGATTCTAGACAAAGAAATTGCGGTTTATTTTTTTTTTTCTCGATCAACTTGACATCGTTCTTATGGAAGGTATTCATAAATGACAGTCATTACCATTGTGCTATTTTGGACACGTTCGCGCTCTGCATGGCGCATCTTTTCCATTTTCGTTCTCGCTCTGAATGCTGTGATTGAATATCGTCCGTGAATTCCGTGATCAAATTCTCTGCTGTATTATTTCTCTCGCTCTTCCTCTGCAGGCTTGCGGTCATAATCCCGCGAACTCGAAGCTAAATCGCCCGAAACCTGGAAACGTGAACAGGATTTAATTTCAGGTTGTCTGAAATGACATGTCTTAAGTGTAAATAGGTTAAACTAAAATGACATTTCTTAAAATGCAAGTTCAACTTGAATGATAAAGATGGTAATAAGGTAGTTTAAATGTTTTTACTCCACCTTCGATCTTAATTTATGTATCCAAAAATATTTGGATGAATGAATGCAAGGATGCAAAAAAATTTCCAGATTGCCCATTTCAATTCCGATCAAAGGAATAGGCCGAAACTTTTAATGGTTTTTTCACAGGGATTTCTTTTATTGTAATTAATTGAAGTAATAGTTGAGCTAATCAATCATTTTTGCAGATAAAATACACTGGAAGGTTTCCCTTCCAACAGACCACCCATTAACGATTACCATTGATACAAGGGTCTGACTCCCCGCCCAACACGGAAATATTTTAAAAATATTGCTGAAATATTGTCAAAAACATTTTAACAATATTTTAACAATATCGAAATAATATTGCTGCAATAGTTTGTTGTCCGCCCCCCTGACAATATTGCAGCAATATTGTCAAGGTAATATTGATAATATATTTTAAAAATATTTACTTGCGATGAGGTTATCATATTCCATATCCGTGTGCGCGCGCTCTAGGAGACGTCTTTGGTACTAATTTTCTTTCTAATGTACACATGCGTCCAGGTTGTGGATCGTAGAGTTGTTACTGACCTTAAAATCCGCGCCGTCCTAGTCGGGATTAGAACCCACGCCTCGGGGTGGAGTTGATATCCGAAGTCCAGTACTTTACCACCAGACCAGCCAGGCTTGATGTAGATGGGCCCGTAAATTCAATCTCTTAACTATCGCAGGCCTCTGAGTCCGTAATAGGTTTGTTTATTGACGGATTCTTATAATATTTTACCAGAATTTATTATTTATTATTTATTTATTATTTTTTATTTCATCCTGTAATTTGTGTTTCAAATTCTTTATTAATTGTACTCAACATATTCCTATTCATGTATTACAAATTTTCGTTTTTTTTAACTCTCTCTCTCATTTTTTTCTTTACCAAATTACTGTTTTTTATAATTGCGTCTTTTTCCAGTTTTAATTATTTGAGCTTTTTCCTAGTTTGAATTTATGTCGATGTATTTATGTTATGTTATTTATTTTTTTCCCTTCTTTTTGTCTTTTCTTCCCCCCCCCTTTCTTTTTTCTAGCGATTGATTTTAGTAAGTTCCGCAAAATAATTGGTAAACAGAGCAAAACCATACGCTAATTTGGCAAACATTTTGAAAATCTAGCAAAAATTTTAGCCATAATAGCATAAACTAGTAATGTTAATTTCGCAAAAGTATAGTTTGCCATTTTCGCACAATAAAATTACCACTTTTGCAAATTGTTTTGTCGTTCTCGCCACGAGGGTGGGCATTTTAGCAAAAAAAGCAAATTGCAGAAATCGCAAACCATTTTTTGCCATTTTAGCAATTAATTTTTAAATATTACAAAAATATTTATAAAATATTTTTAACATAATATTAAACAAATATTTTTAAACTAATATTTCTAAAATAATTTTAAAATATTTTGTAAATATATTTTACAAACTGTTTTAAAAGTAATTACATAAATATATTTTGTAAATATATTTAAAACATTTTTATAAATATATTGTTACAATATTGTCATGAAATATTTTAGCAATATTGTCAACATATTTCTGCAGTGTATTTAAGGAAATATTTACATGACAATATTGTTTCATAATATAATGTTGACAAGTGACAGAAATGAACTTTGATGCAGAGTCCAGAATCAGCCTCACTGTTTTCATCGCCGAAAAATTTCCATGTTTCAAATGTAACTGCTGTTCCAGAATGGTTTACTTCACGCTTGACTCAGGTTCTTCATGGCATCATCCTTTAAACTAATCAGCAACACATCTGGAAAGAAAAAGAATGTTTCGAGTTTTTTAATTCATTGTCAATTGATACAATAACTTAAGTCTATGCTTTATTAAAGATTCATTAAATTGTTTCTAATGAAATATAATTAATGACAATCATGAAGCATCATTTTTGTGAAATAATTTAGGTTTTTCTGTATCGTCCTCATGTCGAAAAAGTGTGTATCAATTTTATCCCTGAACGTGAAATAATCATGCACTGCTCTCCAGCACAATTTTGCTCTCATAATTAAAGCATTATATATTTTCGGCCTCTGGTCACCGTTTTTCACTCAATAAGAATACTCCATGACAAAGCAACATGGCCGTGGCAGTCAGAAACACAATGCGTTGGAGTCAAATATTAAAAGCAAAAATCATGTCAAATCTTCGAGTATGTAACTATTTTAACTCCGGAGAAGCCGTGTCACATAACCGGTGGATTGAAGGCGCGCATCTGTCTAAACAAAAAATTGACATCTTCGGTTCAAATACTTAAAGATCTACAATCGTCCGAGGTCTGATTATTCGAAAACCAGAGTGTTGGCACTAAACTTGTAACGCTGGATAAATTATTTGCAAGAAAATTATACGGTTATCTGTCCCTGCGAGCCCTGCGACCTTTTGAATTCCTCAGGTAGTTGTTCAAACAACGTCAAGGTGAAAAAAATTGATGGGTTTCATTAAAATTTTAACTGATATTTTAAAAAGTACCATGTTATCTGTTTTGATTCACGTAACTATAGTCTTTGCAGCATTTGTCATCCAATTGGAAGACTTCAAATATGGACATGGAAATACTGCTCTTTTCATTAAAATGATTTCTCCATGGTAAATTTTTTCCGAAATATGCACACCCCAAAAATCTCGGTAACCGGAACTAAGTTTCATCATCCTGGCCAGGGCCGGATGTACCTACTTGCCGCCCATGGGCCGCCTGTATTTTGCCGCCCCCTTCTCATTCGTTTTGAAACATCAATGAAAACCATCAAGTGAACGTGCCAGCGGGGGTGGGGTGCATAAGACGCGTTTACTCTCGTTGGAAACATTTTTTGGGAAAGCCCTGTCAACACTACTAGCAAAAATTCACCGAACTTTGCGCGAACGATACGTTTCGTAAACCTATCTCTGCGTGGACAAGGCCTTCCACTCATAAGAAATGAACGAAAAACTTATGAAAGAAAAAACAAAAATGTGGTTTAATGAGTTTAACTTCCGCCGCCGCGCCGCGCAGACCGCACTGTGTTTGACGCTATGCGTGAAGTATTCATGCATTCTTGTAGGCGCTATCCGTTTCACGCTGGCCGCGCAGACCGCACTGTGTTTGATGCAATGCGTGAAGTATTCGTGCAGTCTTGTAGGCGCTAATATGTGTTACATGCCGACCGCCGCGCCGCGCCGAGGGCTTCTCCTTTTCATCTCAAGTCCTTGTCATCATTTCTCTCTCAGTCGCGCCGTTCCTGGCCAAATTGCGTGTTTGGTCTCTCTCTTAACCCGAATAATTAAAGGTGATGTCTCTTGTATCACCGAAAGATGACAAAATTAGAAATGACTTTACTCTCAGGAAATGAGAGATTTTGTTTGTAATTTATTTCTAAATCCGATTTTTTTTTTATACCTACATTTAAAAAAATTGCAAAATTTGCCGCCTCCTAGATTTGCCGCCATGGGCCGCGGCCCATGTGGCCACCCCCTTTATCCGGCCCTGGTCCTGGCCTGCCTGCCGAAAATGTGGCATATTGTCTAGACCTGTTGGAAGTTTCATCAACTCGCAGCCGCCAGTGACATAGTATTTCCGTTTGTAGCTGCCAACATTCTTGAGGTAAGGATATTACCAAAAAAACTTGCTCTGTGCGGGTTGAAAGTGGATTATACTTTTAGAGGAGGGCGTGTTTGTTCTCTTTCTTGTGATATCCCGTTTGTTTTAAATCACATCTTTGAGACAGAATGGGGAAAAAGTGTGATAATTTAAACTATCTTTCTATCAAAAAACGTGGCCAACTCAACTATACTTCTGACTGGGGCAACTACACTTTCGGTTCGGGCCAAAATTAGCAGGAAATGTAGTTGAAATTATCATACGTTTGGTGTACGCACGTGTTGAAGTGGCGAGTTTTCCAAAAATGCAAAAATTCTCTACGCAAATTGTGAGATAAAGGACGAACTTCAGGGTTTGTTTATGCGTTTATCCTGATTTTTGAGCAACTTTCCAAATCACAGTAAGAACCACTCTCAAAGCCCTGGCGAAAGTTTGCGACTGACCCCTCCTCATTCTTACGTTTCGTAGATTCATCTCCTGTCAAATAGTCGAGTGAAAACGGTGAAAAAGCGAGGGAGGGTCAAAGATACAAAAAAAAGCTGGAAATTCTGAAGAGCCGCTCGCTGGACCTCGGGCGAGTAGACGCACGGGAGATGGGTCATGTTTGCTGCAGGGGTTGAACTTGTGGATTGGGGTGGGTTGCCGGAGGGAGGGGGAGGGGGAGGATGCATGTGCCTAGCGTGTCTTAGCATAGCCGGGAGATTGGAGGGAGGGGGAGTATATTGCTTCGTCGAGAGCAGTGGCGAAATAAGTCCAATTCCCAGAGCGATTCTGGATACATCGGTTTCCAATATTATTCAACTTACCCCCTCCTCACCACGCACCATCCCCCTTGCATCGCACAGTGGTGCAATATGTAAATGGGTGAAAGAATCGCCCGATAGGATGCAAAGAAAAATACAGCAAAGTCACTAAGAAAAAAAGTACGGTCACCTGAATGCAAGAATCGTGCATTCTACGTACAATTTTGGTTGGACAACATGTATCAGAACGCTTAAATTCGTACCTTTTTAAATGATCCATTGAGTCATTATATTAATGCCAATTTATTTTTGCTTCTTCTTTCAGTTAAATAAAAATTCTCTCTTGTTATTAATGTAAAAAACCTTTCATTATTTTACCTCTACTCTCTTTAAAAAAATCATGGTCTACTCGAGTCTAATTGAGCACTGAATTGGTATGGACGCAAGAATTTTACTATACACTAACCTTTTTGACAAGATTAGAGGTATATCTTGTATCAAAAAAGGAATAGAATGTATCTGAAACAAAGTTCTAATTATTTGCATCACGCATGGATCAAAATTCAATCCCTAATTTGGCATATATTAGTTGTGGTTTTCGCAAGCGGGAAGTCTTAATTTACTGTTTTTATAATATAAACTCCATGCGCATAATTCTGGCTTATTTGACCATTAGGAAAGTTTCAACGTATTTGTATTATGGTGCTGAATTCTTACCATGTCTTTTGGCCCATTAGACCCTCTGTGTGTCGACCATAAACCGACGGAAAACGTGGCAGTGGACCGTGGCTCTGGGAGAGAAAAGAAATATAATCAGCGTTTGTCTGACCGCTCGTTTTTTCGGACTGCCTCGGAACAACCTGTAATATAAACATCTCATAACTTTCAACTTTGACATCGGCGCTGTGGGGCTCCAGCACTGCGCCCGTCTTAAGGGCCGCCTGGGACAAACAGGGTTCCACGTCAATGCAACGTTCGCTCTTCTTTCTATGTATGATCTTCTCGGATGGCTCAATCTTCTTTTACCGAATATTTCCCTCACAAAGGCTCCTCCCTTCCTCCCGTGACAGCAAATGTCACCGTAGCTAAGTGTGAAAACGCGCATCGAGATTTGCGATATACGATATTCCAATGTTTCGACTTACTCGATGCGAATAAGTAATCAGCCACTCATGTTTTAAAAGTATCTCGATTTTTATAATGCAGATGAAGAACATTCTAGGATATTTCTCTAACAAATATTTAAAAAATGTAAGAATTTTTATCGGAAAATTCCTGCATCCATAATTGTGAAATAAAATCAACAAAACAATTAAAGTATGAAAGAATTACGACGACGTTGCATGTCAGCAACCAGAGAAATACGGCGATTTGCTTTTTAAGGATCAACTGCGTATACGACCCTCGGTGCAAAATTGGAGCTCTGCATCAGAGGCCGTCGCACATTTTTTAACAATCAGGATGTTATTTCAGCATCTTAACTGGACAAATCTTTGCTAAAAGGACCCAAAGACGGGTGGAAAAGAAGAAGTGTGCTCGTTAGTTGAGGGCCGTAAGAATGAAAGGGAACTATTGAGCGTTAGTGACTTCAGCGGCGACGACGACAAAGTTGTCGGTCTGTAACTCATGAGCTCTGTCCACAACGCTATTGTCACATGCCCAAGACTCATGAGTTAGCATATTTTGGCTCTTAGTTCTCTTTATTTGATGTTAAATCTTACTTTTCCATTTTCCCAAAAGGAACCACACCGACTTTTACATTGTTCTTATGCAGCATTTACGAGCACACCCCATCTTTTCTGTCTGTCTCCTGTCCCTTCCGGCATAAATGCGTCCATCATCCTAATTTTTTCAGTGACGCCAGAGTATGACCAAATTGAAACTGGAGGATCATACTTTTTGGAGTCATCGTTTCTTTGACGCACTGCCATTCCAGCTCAATTTGAGGTCGCACCCAAATTCCCACCCCCTCCCCGCTTTCCGCCATTGGCCGTCAGCAGTACGGAGCGAACGTGACTTAACGCTGAATTCGCCTCGACAAATGAGCTGCCTCTGTCCGTGCGTCACAGTCGACCGCCTCACTTTTGCAGATCCAATCGCAGCAGCCTCTCCAGTTGCCAGATCAGCTATAAAATCACCAATTTTTATTGTCAAATTATGAAATTCAAACGAATAGTGCGCCTAAGTTGTCAACCCTGGCATCAATCCTCAATATGGCTGTCTCTCCAGGAAAAATACCTAATTTTTCTTTGGACAACTGCTTCTTAAAGATAAATTGCAATGCAAGAATTCGGGAGCGAAAACTAACTGATATCTTGATGTTGAAAATATCAAATCAAGTAATAGTGTTGTATGCGGGAGAAAATACTTCGATTTATATAAAACATCGAAGTTTCTAGCCCAGAAAACCGAAGTTTTCAGTCATGGTACCGAGCTTTGAGCTCAGGTAGCTGAATTTTTTGCCAACCATAAAAATTGTTTTGATTGGCTGTTGTGTTAAAACTATCTCAAGTATAGTTCACAAATGTCCGTGTTTTTGTTTTTTGGCTAATTCACTTTCACAAACTGATTGCTGTTGACACACGAGTCATATGGACAGTAAGTTGAAATTTTTAACGCGCGTGTTGGCTAAAAAGAATTCCGACTTACTGTCTAATTCACTTTCGGTTGGATCAACAAAACGATTTGATTGACCAACCATGGGCAAGGCAGGTTCAATCCTAGCTGTTCCTGCATTATTTTAATGGATTTGAAGTTTTTCAACCAAAAGATTTGATTCATTTCACCATAGAATTTGATTAATGCAGCCGAAAGAAACACGGGAAAAAGTGTGTGGGGCTACTCTTTACCGTGGCAACTTTCCAAATTTTGGGTTACTTTATGTTCTTTTACCAATATTAATCCTAACTATTAGATACTATAGAAGAGCAATGATGAAAGCCATATATATGAAAGAAAAATTCCAAAAAAAAATTAAATTGCAGATTTAACAATTTTGTAGTTTAAAAAAAGTGTCCGACACGTTTCAATGCAGCTTTTACAATAAAAAATTCTTAATTTAACAGCCCCCGTGGTTAAATTAGCTCTTTACTATTGCAAAACGTACATATGGACGTATTTCTGTCAAACGGAACTATGTGCCTTAAGACATGAGACCTGAGACCCGTAAGAATACATGCATAACAGGGCTCACGTCATAATGCACATAGTTCCGTTTGACAGAAATACGTGTTTTTGAAACATGTCGGACATATTTTTTAGCAATTTAGTTGTTAAATCAGCAATCAATTTTTTCCGTAAATCTCACGGGCTTACACTGAGAAAAAAAGTTCGGTAAATCCGAACTAGTTTGGATCATATGGAACCACGATTTTGTTCGGTACACACAACCGAATTATTCGGTCTGTTCAACCGAATTGTTCGGTTTGTGCAACCGAACCATAATAAATTCTTACAGTTCGGTTCAGTGGACCGAAAAGTTCGGCTGAGCAGACCAAATAATTCGGTCGTGTGTACCGAACAAAATCTTGGTTCCATATGAACCAAACTAGTTCGGATTTACCGAACTTTTTTTCTCAGTGTAGCAGAATACTCGAGTTCAATATTCCGAATTAATCGCCCAAAACGGCGACGGTGGCAATGGCCTGCGTCATGCCTCTTTGCAACGCTGATTGCTCCAATAACGCCCCGAGAAATGTCACGTTTCCCTATCGATCGCAGATCGTGTTGCAGGCGCGATTCCTCCTCAGCACCATTCAAATGGACGCTCGCGTGTCGAAAATGTCAAAGTTTTCTCAATCTCATGAACCCTGTGGAACAAGCGTTAGGAATGACTGGCATGGCTCAAGAGTTAACGTAGCTTGACACTCTCTCACACGTAGTTGTCCGGATATACGCACGAATGTAGGCTTCATTAA